CTATTTTATTCAGTTTATAGTGTCCTCAATCAAAGTTGTCCTCAAAGTATATCTATGCTTAAGTTACTCGACACTTAAATAAAGTTGGAACTTGATTTTTGGTCTACTAGACGATGGGAAAGTTATGTACATTTTAGCATCGTGTCTAGCTTATTCCTTGCCAGAATTTAGTTTTGTTTTAATTCCAGCATTTTCATCGCGCTATCTTTCCCCTACAGTTGCTGATCGTTTGGGGCGATGCATTCCGGCCGACTGGCCTGTTAGCGGCCATCGCGGCCCCTCGTTTTCGTTCGCTATGTCGGCCGACCATTGTTCTAGTTTCACCATCAGGCAATTAGTCGKTGCTAGGGGCCTGGTCATTTGTTGYCTGATTGTTGCTCTAATCTTTGCGCTCTTATTTGTCGACCTTGCTGGAACAGGCTACCATTCGTTGTTCAATGTCTGGKTACTTGTTGCGCTGATCAATGAGCGGATCGTTGCACTAATCATGGTCATCTTTATTATTCAACTCTGCTGTAGCAGGCTACCACTCGTTCCTCAAGGTCTGGGCACTTGTTGCGCTGATYAATGCGCTAATCGTTGCGCTTTCATTTGTCAACCCTGCTGACTCCGAGGGATCAGAATACCATCCGTTGCCTGGGGATTGGGCACTTTTTACGATGATCATGACATATCGTTGCGCTTTTATTGTTCAACTTTGCTGGATCAAGCTACCATTCGTTGCTTTGGGCTTGTGCACTTGTTGCACTAATCGTTGCAATAATCGTTGCGCTACTAGTTGGCATCTTCAGTTTTCAATTCTGCTGGGTCAGGCTATTATTCGTTGCTTTGGGCCTGGGTAATTGTTGCGCTCATCGTTGACATCGCTAACTTGCGGATGCTTATTGACTCGTGGACCAAAGCTTCGAAGGTGACGGAGAATTGAGTTGGAGTCTATCTCCATCACGTGTAAAAATTTGTCCGGCTGAGATGGGCATTCTCTCGCCGCATGTACAATTCGCTATGCTATTTGAAAACCGCAACCACTCAATCCACTAAGTTAATGCTGGGGCTCACCTAGTCCTCGGCTGGTGGAACA